TATATATATATATATATATATATATATATATATATATATATATATATATATATATATATATATTACATTTTTTATATAAAAAACGATGTTCAATCGATCCGCCTTTAGAATACTTACGTCACTGATTTTGAGAGTATTATTCAGTCATAACCAAAAGTATAAAATAAATAAATAAATGCACTCCACTCATTTCACAATTTAGCAAATGAAAAAGTCAAATATAAAATGATTTACTAAATAATCCAAACTATAATGAGGGATAAAAATATTTATTTCAGGTATCCTATGTTTGACTAATAATCAAAATTCTTTATTAATTACCATATCTCAAGTAATAATTAATAATTACTTAACAAAATCTTTTTGCCAATATTTTTGTCAATAACCCCTATAAAAAGGTGGTGATTGTTGGAAAATAAAAAATTAAATTTAGAAAAAAGAAATGGCTAAAAGTTTTTTTTTTCTCATTATTTGTGTAGTGGCAACTTTGTTCTCCATAGCTTTGGCTTTACCAGGAACAGCCTATTATACCAATGATCAATATCCTCGTAAGTTTAATTTTTTTTTTCTATTTAAATTCTATTAGACAAATAACAAAAAAAAAAAAAAAACTAGTTATGGCTGATAAATATAACTATTTGATATCGAGACGTAATTATTTTATTATTTGTTTTTATAGCATCAGCGTGTTCTGTACCCACATCACCAGGTAGCCTTATAGCTCGGATCGCGTATCTAGGAGGTTCTATTACATGTGGCGACTCATTACGCGTTACATGTGTCGGCACCTCGCCACCTTGTACTGACAAGAGTGTTGTAGTAAAAGTGGTTGATCATTGCTCCACGTGTCGCGGTGTAACCATGGTTCTATCTCATGAAGCTATTTCAGTTATTGCTAATCCTATTAGTGTCAAGGAAGTTATTAACATCAACTATCAAAAGTAAGTAGTATTAATAAAAATTTAATTGAATATTTAATTTTATTTAACGCTAAATATATTGTTATTATGATTGTCAGGGTCTGATTAGGACAGGGGCATCGAAGATATATGAATTGATCAGTGATGATTATTCTTTAGTTTAGTTGAATTGATCAATGATGATTACAGCTTAATATATGTAATTAATGAAAGTTGAATTGATCAATGATGGCTACATATGTGGACTTCTATAAGCCTTTGCACATAATTAATTTATACTTGTTGATTTATAAATTGTGATTATGAAGAAACGTTAAATCTGGATCAAGAATTAGGTTCTTGATTATTTGCCTAAGGAAAGAGTCAATTAAAATAATATATACTTCAACTAAAATCTTTCTATCTCAAGGAAGAAAAAATTCAACTATGTTTTTTATTTTTTTGCTTAATTACAATTTTTGATTAACTCTAATTGAATTCTTCAAATTCATAAGAAGCCAAACTTACTTACAAATCTCCTTACTCCACAAGAAGTCAAACCTACTTCTTGTTTACAATCACACAAGCTAACAAAAACACACAGAACTCACAGATACGCTCTTTGCTGCCTCTCTCTTCTTCGCGCTCACTTTTTTCCGATTGCAAAAGAACTGGCTTTCTTTGTCTTGATATCTCTGTTTATATAGACTTTTGATGATCAAGATTTATCTCATCTCTTTGAAATTGATAATGATTCTGATATCCTTCTTTGATATGGAAAGATTTGCTTTTATTTGTTATACAAAATAGGCAACCTTTTAAGAAAAGGTTTTGTCTTCGTATAAAGTAGACAACCTTTTAAGAAAAGGGTTTGTCTTTTTATTTATGGAAATATACCTTTTTTATTTTCATTCTTTCCATAAATAAATATGTGCCTTAATGTTTCTCCTTCGCTCTTTTTTCCATAAAACGACATCTGATTTAATAAATGAACCTGGTTCATAAGTGAGACGACATCTGATATTCATAAATGAGACGACATCTAATTTAATAAATGAACCTAGTTCATAAGTGAGATGACATCAAAAATATTTGTCATTATTAAAAGTAATTAACACAATTTCCATCAAATTATTGCATAGTTTATTAGTTTATACCATGCAATAAAAAATTATGTTCAAATGAATTTGATATCATTAATCTATATTTATTTCTGAATTTTGTTATATATTTTACTTTTTTATGACACTTATGACATTTATTATAATGGTTGATATGCCCTTGTTAAATTTATCTCTTTATAACAATCATATTCAAATAGGTTGTAACAATATTTATAAGATTAAACATATCCTTATAAACGCAATGAAAACATGGAATGAAGTACACTCTCTATTGAAGGTGAATTGATCAATGATTCACGCTCTATAGTCTTATATTAAAAGTATAACATTTAAATTTTTATTTTATTTTTAACTTCATGTCAAGTAAAAATATAACAAAACGATTGAAATGAATGAAACCTTTTCATTCAAAAAAAAAATCATTTTGTAACTCAAAAATAATTTTGAAATATATTAACAACTCTACTTATAAAAAGCTAGAAGAATGCACTTTAAATAGAAAAAAGACTAAAGATGAGAATTTAAAAATTGAGACTATATTAATTAATGTTCTTTATTAGCTTATTATATCAATGTGATTATGAATATAGAAAAAAAAATCTATAAATACAAACTAAAGTAATTTGTATATATCTATATATTTCATATAATTTTTTGCTTGTATAAGTTTTTTATAAAAAAAATAGTGAACAAATCATCCTTCATTTTATGTGCGCCACACTCATTTCACATTAGAGTTTTGTCAATGAGAAATTTAAATATAAGATGATTTACTAAATAATCCTATGCTTGACAAATAATGAGAAATTCAAAAATATTGTAAGAAGTACTCATTAATGTGATTTGAGTTTGCCATGTACACTTCTAGTTGAAAATACCATGGATCAGTCCGTCTTTATTTTTTTTATTAAATTAAAAATAATTATCAAATAATATTTGTCTAATTTGAAAAATCAAGAAATTTAATTTTTTTCGTTTATCAACCTTGAATTCTTGACATAATAGTCAGAAGAAAACTCCTCAACTAGTCAATACCGAGAAGTAATTGTTATTATTCGATATTGAATATATTATTACGATAAATGTTAGTATTTATCAAAGCTACATGGTGCATGGAATTATGAGTACATTCTAAAAGTGTAGATCAAATGATGATCACAAACTTAATGTATAAACTTCTCAAGAAAGATATGTAAGTATTATTTATTAGTCATGAGTATTTACTTTTATTTATTTATTTAAAATAAATACTAAAAAAGTTGGAAAGGGCAAAGGCTATTGCAAGACACCAGAAGTGCGTAGGTGTTTGTGCTCTATTGAAGTGTGTGCCAAGCTATATAAAATTTAAAAAGAAAGTGAAATTCATATATAGACATTTATATTATAAGTTTTAAAAATGAAATAATATAACGCTCCACTTTAAAATTAGAAGTCCTATATCAATAAAATATAAGAAATATTGGATGTATAATAAGCAAACGTTATTAATTAGCGATTTTTTTAACAGTTGTTTCACTAGAACAATATTTCAGTATAGTGATTAATTTTCTCCAAAATCGATTTTTCATGTATTTTCTTTTATTTTCTATGACATATTTCTACCTATAACAGTGGTGATGATATTCATTATAGTGATGTACTCTTTTTAAAATTACATTTCTATAAAATTTATATTCATATAGTGTGTAACAATATCTTGTAAGATTAAATATGTCATGTATAAACATAATAGCAACACTTTACAATTAAAAAAAATTATAAAAATTTTCAAATGAATATTATGACTATAACGAGGTTTGATTATATATAGTCTGAATACATTATTTATCAATATAACGAGGTTTGATTGTATATAGCCTGAATACATTGTTTTATGATTGTCAGGATTTAATGAGAGTGCAATTAAAGATTGATGGAGACCATTGAAATGAAGTACACTCTATAGTGAAGTCGAATTGATCAATGATATTGTTTCGAGTATTTGTTTAAAAAGTTCTAATTATATGTTTCTTATTCTTTTAAGAGATAATTGTATATAATAGTAAATTAATAATTTAAAATAAATGAAATAGCTATTGTTTGATTTAATTTTATCCCATAGCAAACGTTTTTAAAGTTTGTCAGTCGTCTCTCTCCCAAAACTCTCGCTCGTCATCTCCCATTCTCGCTCCCACTCTCTCTATGCTCGCCTCTCTCGCTTTATGCAACAGAAGTGTATAAATTGTGTTTCGATCTGTATAAAGCGATAGACAATTGTATATACACATGTAAAAATATATATCTTCATCCTGTACACTTAATTATACAATTTACAAATATTTTACTTTGATTCAATTGTATACAAATACAAATTTTATACAAATATTGCAGCGAAAAAGGCCAACGAATTATACAATTACAATAAAATACAATTTTTCTCTCGCTTTATACAATAAAAATATGTCAAAACAAGTTGAATTAATAAATGGGTAGGTCATTGACCCGATAATATGTTATTGGGGCTGTCCAATTCGAAAATTTTATATTCAAAAATTCCTCTCCTTGCAAACAGAGCTTGTTTATCTTCAAACTTTCCATTTTTACAATATTTTGATTAATCTTGAATACTTGATGGCAGCTTATAGTGCTGTAATTTTTCTTTGCGTATTATATAGGCCAGCGAATTATATAATTGCATGAAAATACGCCAGTGAATTATACAATTTAGGTCAGCGAATTACACAATTTAGGCCAGCAAATTATAAAGTTATATATGTAAAGCGAATTATACAGTTATATGTTTGCTATGGAGCGTAATTATGTAAATTTTGTTATAACATATAAATATAAATTTTTCAGTTGCTATACGTGAAAGTTAACCTTTTTTAATCATCAATAGTATATATGATTTAATTCTAAATAAGGTAACTATACAAATTCTCACTGCGTATATCGATTAATCTCATATCAATCTAATAGTATATGATATATACTTAAAAGTAAAACTAAAAGGCACGGATAATTCCCTATATTTTTTTTTTACTATATATAAATATAGTAAAGACATAAAAAAACACACATAGTTAATGAACTGCCTTAATTCTAGTAAATTAGATAACAAATTTTAGCCAATTAAAACATTATAAAAAAGGCATTGAATTACTAGTTGAATTGATAAATATATCACTGAAATAAAATAAAACTTTTTGGAAAAAAATATGACAATAACTCCTAAAAATAATCTTATTCTCATTATTGTTTTTGTGGCAACTTTGTTCTCTTTAACTTTGGCTACACCAGGGACTGCAACATTCTAAAGAAGCATTTTCAACCATTGCTAATCGCGCGACCGGTGTTATCAAGATCAATTAAGTATCAGTAGATAGATGTAAGATTTAAATTTTATTGATCACTATGAAAATCATGCAAATGTTTGAATATCTTAAGAAAATATTAAATTTAGTTGAACGCTGATCTTTACATATTTTATCTGTCACTAAATAAACCCCTCAAATTGAATGATTTTTATATTTATTTTGTGTTTTTGGTATAGTAAATACTTGATGACATGTTTTGTGATTTTTGTTTTATATTTTCAGGATTTAATGATGATTTCAAGAAATCAAGTTTATACTATAGTATATGTTAGAACTATATTCCCTTGGCAAATTGATTTGATGAATTCACAATTTGATATTTGTATTTTATTACTCGTAAGATTTAAAGTTTATATTATAAGTTAATATTTCTATTTAGCTAGTTATATTGTTATTCATTAACTGAAAAATATATTTATTAATTTTCAACTTGGTTCGCCAATATCATGTCAATAGTATCTAGTTTCATAGAGATTTTATTTTCAAGAAGATATTTGTTTTTCACGATAAAAATAACGATATTTCTATATAGTATTATCATGTAATATCATTTTGTAAATGGTTCGGCGTAACTTATAGCCCACGTAATAATGGATAAGACTTGATGTCTTTTGGCCCATCAAACTATTGGGTTAGCTTGATTTGGCCCAATAAATTTCAAACATAATCGACATATATTGATACATAATAACTTAAATAAGATACATAATAAAGTAAAATTTTGATAATTTTACTAAATATTGAAAGTGTTGATAATGGATCTTATTAAATATTAAAAATATTGACATTTCGAAAAATTTCCCTATATCGTATGTTTGGACTAATAAACAAAGTTTAATATTAACTATTATTAACTTACTAACCAACCTTAATAAATTATAGTAATTTGTAGATATAGTCAAAATAATTTTTTATCAACTAACTATCCCATAAGTCCATAATAATAAATGAATTGTTTTAATTCTTCTAACAAACTTTAACAATGAAAATCCTATAAAATGATAGTTGATTACTAGTTGGAAAAATAAATATAGTAGTGAAAACAAAATAAAAGTTTTTTTTTTTTATAAAAAAAATGGCAATTCCTAAAAATATTATTCTTATTATTGTTTTTGTAGCAACTTTATTCTCTATAGCTTTGGCTACACCAGGGACTGCAACATTTTATACTAACTATGTTCGTAAGTATTTATTTTCCCTTTCGATTCATTTGATCGTTCGTATTTAATTTATACACTGATAATATAAAAAATTATTTTTCTGATCGATAGCATCGGCGTGTTATGGAAGTACACCTCAAGGTTCTATAATAGCAGCAGCTAGTGATTTTTTGTGGGATGATGGAAAAATATGTGGGAAAATATTTAATGTTACATGTACTGGACCAACAAATCCTGTGCCACACCCTTGTACTGGCAAGAGTATGGTTGTGAAAATTGTGGATCATTGTCCTGGATGTGGTGGAACCCTAGATCTATCTAAAGAAGTTTTTTCGACTATCGCGAATCCTATAGCTGGTGTTATCAAGATCGATTACGTTCAGTAAGTAATATTTAGTATCTATAAAATGAACATAACATTTAAATCTTAGTAGTTTCTCAAAAGACAGACAAATTTGACTAGTTGAAAATTACTAATCTGACATAAATTTCATATTTTTAACGAACAAACCTTCGTGACAAGTTTCATCAAAAATTTGTATATTTATAGTATTGATTCTTTTTTTTGGTTCTATGATTTTCAGGATTTGATAAAGGACATCAAGAAATTAAATTTATACAATAGTATATGTTTGAATTTGATTAACCTACAATTTAATATATGTAGTTCATCAATTCTATGAATAAAATAAAAGTTTATTGATATTACTTTCTCTCTTTTTTCCGCACATTAATATTTTATACGCTTTAATCTCAAATAAAATATTGTATAAATTTTTACTATTTATATTGCTTAATCTCAAATAAGTCTAAATTCATAATTTGATATTTTATCTATTAATTCTGAGTAATTAATACAAATAAAGGGTAAAATTGTAAAATTAATTAATTCATTAATATTATGTCCATCTAATATAGAACAAAAAGAGTATTAATTTGGCATAAAACTTAATTACCTTTAAAATCCCATAATTACTATATTAATTTCTACATTTCCTTTCAGAAACGTAACTAAGGAAAAAAGAAAGTAGAAGAATTTAGGAAAATTAATAAAATGTAATAGTGAGGAATAATATAAATAGATCACCATTAATTTTCTATAATTACTATTAATACATTGATTGCTATATTTTGTAACAGAAACAAAATAAATAGATCATCATTAATATGATGTAATATTTTAAAATCCTACTATAAGAAAATGAATCTCAAAAATATTGAGAAAAAAAGATAAAAAGAGATTATGATTTTTTTTTTAAAAAGTATGTCATATTTGTATTATTGTATAGTAACAACATATAATATTGTCATGTAATAATTTATTTTAACATTTTAAAATTTAAATTAACGAATTATGAACAAGAAATATTCTTATTATATATCATATGAATTGAATGTAATAATTAATTAACCTACCTTAATAAAATATATTAATTTTCTGATATCGTCAAATTAATTTTGTATTAACTACTTACTCTATCAATCAATAATAATAAATGAATTGATTTTATTCTTTTGACAATTTACCTATTTTAGCCGATGAAAAAAACTATAAAAAGGTTGTTGATTATTGATATAGATAGATAAATTAGTGAAAATAAAATAAAAGATTTTAGAAAAAAAAATGGCAATTCCTAAAAATATTTTTCTTGTTATTATTTGTTTTTTGGCTACTTTCTCTATAGTTTTGGCTATTCCAGGAATTGGATCATTTTATAATAGTAGCTTTATTCGTAAGTATTTTCTCTCTTTCAATTTGTTCCTCTATTTAAATTTTATTACACATTTTTTTAAACAAAAAAAAGAAATTATTTACGAAATTCATCGCTAAACGTGAGTATTTTATAATCCATTCCTCTATTTAAATTTCATTAAACATTTTTTTAACCAAAAAAATGGAATTATTTACGTAATTCATCGCTAAACGTGAGCCTTTTATAATCCATTCCTCTATTTAGTTATTTACGAAATTCATCTCTACGTGACCCTTTTATAATCCATTCCTCTATTTAAATTTCATTACACATTTTTTTTCAACGAAAAAAAGAAATTATTTACGAAATTCATCGCTAAACGTGAGCCTTTTATAATTCATTGCTAGTTCGTTATTGAACAACATTTTATTGTTTAACTACAAAAGTTGTCCCTTATTAATTCTTGATTCTTTTTGTAATTTATTTTTGAAGTAAAATGATTGTAATTTTTAATTCTCAATTCATATACTAATTTCTTATATTTACGATAAATCTAGCTCTAACTTATTTTCTTATTAACTTGTATATACTGACAGCGTCGAGGTGTTATGGAACCAAACCACAAGGTGACATGGTAGCAAAAGTTGGTTCTAAATCTCTATGGGATAATGGTTCTATTTGTGGAAAAAAATTTAATATAACATGTACTGGAGAAACAAATAAATATTTGTTACATCCATGTACTGGAAAATATGTTGTTGTGAAGATTGTTGATTATTGTCCTGAATGTTATGATGATGCAACTACTTTTCATCTTCATGAGAAAGCATTTGAAACTATTTCTTTGCTCTATGCTTTCGACGTCAAGATCGATTACGTTCAGTAAGTAAATAATTATAAAAGATAAATTTACTTGTTTGAAGTATAAAATTTTAGTTTTTTGATTGACTCGTTAGAAAATTTACTGATTTATAATAATTTGTTTTATGATTTTCAGGATCAAATGAGGATATCAAGAAGTTATAAATAAAAATGCTTATTCATAGAGGATGGAGCTTACAATTTTCAAATAATTTTGTTACTATAGTTTATGTGAAATTAAATCCCTTAAAGGAAGTTGATTTGATCAATGTAATATTCACATAATGAAAATATGTACTTGATCAATTTTAAGATAAAATTAAAAAAGGTTCATTGATATTCTCATTTTTATTCTTTTTTTTCTATGTTGGAAATTATTTTTGAGTATATACTTTGTCAAAGTGCAAGAAATTTACAAGGTGAAATTTAATTCAATAAGGAGATTATTAGGTGCCTCCTCATATTAAATAATTGAAAAAATTATAAAGATATAGATAAATTATCTTGTGTATGGTATGTATATTAATATTTAATTAAATTCAAAATCAAATTGAAAAATTTCATGTATAAAGTAAAGAGTTCCTTAAAAAAAAAAAATCATAGAGAAAATTAAAATTTTACATCAACTAAAATCTCTTTTCTTCACCGTATCGATATTAACTTACCTATTCCTGCTCCTACCGGATCCAAGAGAGGGCTAAATACTTAATGCTAAATTGATGGATTGTGCAATTGTTTAATTTTTCTGCATAATTTTTGCAAAATCGATGAATTGAAATTATTTGATTTTTTTTTCAATTTTATTTTAGGTATTAGCTCATGAATATTTACTGATATGATTTCTAATTGATTTTTTTTGGTAAAACATTTATGCAATACTTATTTAATGTGTCAAATGGCTACTAAAGACCAATATTTAACACAACATTATAAGGGTCAAATAGTATATAGTTGTATCATTAACTATTGATTAAGTCAATTATCTATAATTATTCATGAATTAATTAACTTAAGTTAAGCAAATAGTTTAAAATTCCCAAAAATAATCTATCGGGTCATTACAACATTAGATATTTCAGATTTTAACTATGATTGTAAAGTAACTTTTATTAGATAATATTTTATCCTTTAATATGAGACCTCTCTAAACGAATATAAATTTAATCATTTTCTATTATAAATATCAAATATCGAATGTAAAATCAAAATAAAATGTTTAATACCATTCAATAGATTCAAATGATGAAGAAAAAACTTATTATAAAGTATTATTAATTCATCATTTTATATTAATTATTATTATATTAATTCAGGCATAAAGTTGTCATCAAGCACATATTATTTATCTTTCATTTTATTTTCCTAAGTTTTGCATGACCATAATATAAATTCAGCAACAAGAATTCATAATATTATATATTCTATCATGAAAGTAATCTTTTATTAGGGAGAGTTTTATTTATTAGTTTAAAATTTCTCGTACAAATTAATATGAATTTAACTCTAATTTGAGTATCAAATATGAATATATCGAATCATAAAAAAGAAGTTTAATAGTACCCTACTTTGTACATATGTACGTCTTTGTTTGAAGACTAGCTCCTTACTTCAAATCACTCTATATTTCATTCATAACTAGATAAATGAATCGTAACAGAAAGTGATTAATTAAATGTAAAACATAAAATTAAAGATCGTAGTCGATCATTTTTCATTAAAACATACATACATAAGGATTAATGATGTGTCACAAACTTATTTAATGTGTCAAATGGCTACTATAGGCCAATACTAACACAACATCACAAGCTACCCTAATAAGAAAAGGCAACACTTTATTAATTTTGTTTTTTTTGACACTCAAAATCCTTATTTAACCTCACTTAATTATTACTCCATCATAATCTCTTCTTCAAGCACAACTTCACTTAGAGTTTTTGCTTCCTCACCCAAAGTTGCTTTAACTTCACTTGAGATTTTGTCAAATACACATGGCTTAGTGCATAGACACTTCCTTTGGAGTTTGCTACAATGTCCACCAGTAAATTTCTCTTTGATACAATATTTTCTACATGATGAGTCCATAAAACATAATCCTGGGAAAGTTTGGCTTGGTGCTTTGCAAATTTGCTGAGCTTCTACCTCTACAATCATTCACACACAAAAAATAGTTAGAATAACATGAGAGAGACGAAATCGAAATAAGTATATTTTAGGGTTTTTTTATCATAGTTGTTAAACGTATAGCAAGTAATATCAATTCACAATTTTTTTAGGGTTTATTTAAACGGTTTACTGATGTCTGCTTCGTTACATTTTTTTTTATTGCGATGATTTTAGAGGAATAAATTATGAAGACAAACCATAGGTAACAAAGAGCATCATTGCCAAGACCAAAAATGCCATGAAGAAAATGGAACGAGCCATGGAATGAGTGAAAAAGATTAGAAATGTTTTTGTTTTTTTTAATAATAAGAAAGATTGTAAGTTAGAGTTGTGAATAAAAATATCACACAATGGGAGTTATTTATAGGGAGTGAAATAAGAGTAAGACCAAAAAAGTTAAAAAAAAATTGGTGGGCCAAAAATAATGTGAAGTAAAAAAAAAGAAAATAATAATAATTGAGGTAGGTGAAGTATATTATGATATATATATATATATATATATATATCGAAATTTTAATTAGAAATCAATTATTAGTAGTTTTTCTTAGAAAATTTTGAATTTGAGCCACCACAGTAAAAGTATCTTTTTTTAGGGAATATTTTACAATCTGAATACAAATTTTATTATGTCATATTGTTAGTATTAAAATATCAAATGTAAAATCAAAAATAAATATTTATATTACTATCATCTCTACTTTTTTTTATTTTTGATGAATATTCAAATAGTCCTAAATGTACAACCTTATCTTATGACAGAATTACATGTTAGTAGTACTTTATTTTATTTTATTTTTTAGTATATCTATAGACACGATTTTTAAACTACGAACACACGAACCATTAAATATGAATTTGAAGTCTCCTTAATTCGAAAGTCGTGAAAATCGTAATAAACCAACAAAATGCCTAAAAAGTCAAAACTAATCTCTTGAGCTATGAAAATTCAACCAGACTTCTCTAAGACCTAACATTATCCCCAGATTTCAAAAAAATTCTCAAAAATTTAATTCAAGCATCAAAATTAACTCAAAGGCTAAAATTTCATAAACTTTCAGCTTAACATTTTAAATTCATAAAAAAACTCCGAATGAAAAAAACCTCTACTTAACCAAACTCGACATTTTGAAACTAATGCAAGTGATAAAATTTATTTCAAGACACGAAACTCCAATTGACACTAAAAACTACTTTTAATCAACTTAAACCTTTCAAAACTCCAAAGCTTATAAAACCACAACTTTTTATTGAACTTCCATAACCAAATCCACAAACCAAACAAAAATGCTGAAACAACAATTGTGAACGGGTAAAACGGTCATTTTATGAAAATTTTCAAAAATGGCCTTCCGAATCATTGTATATACACTTGATTTTTTATTTTATTTTTTTTGTGAGTACATCTATTAGTAGTTTGGCAATAGACATATTTTTATTATTTAAGCAAAAAAATCATCTTTAATTAATTGGGTGGAGTACATTAGATATTTCAGATTCTAGCTATGATTGTAAAATAGTTTTTGTGTGGAAATATTTTACCCATTAATGTGAGACCACTCTACACGAATATAAATTTAATTATTTTCTAATATGAATGTCAAATATCAAGTGTGAAATCAAAACAAAATATTTAATACCATTCCTATTTTCAGGGCCGACTTAACAACATTGGGGGCCTAAAGCGAAATTTATGGGATGACTCTAATTTATCTTTTTTTTATCATATGTATTTTTATTTAAAAATCTGCTTTCTAGCTATTTTAGATGCAAAGTCATTTATTATTATTTTATTATCAATCTGTTTTAGTAATTTCTTTTCAAATGATAATATAGCTAATTCATTCAATTTATCTTTGAGACATTGTTATCTTAAAGAAGATCTAATCAATCTTAATTTCAAAAAAAAAATCGATTGAGGCAACGATTACATTTCCCTGTTAACACTGTCCTATAAACAATATATGTATTTGGAAAAGAATTTATTCTTTTTATTTGATTGAGTACTTTGTAACGACCTGTTTAGTCGTTTTGAGCAGCAGATTTTAATTTTGGAAAAACTGGCTGAGTCGACGGATCCCACGACGAACCGTCATGGGCACGACGGACCGTCGTGGGGGTCTCGTTCCAAAACACTTAGAATTCTGAAATTTGGGTACTGAAATCGACTCTCTGAACTTCGTAACGAAATGACAGGACGGACCGTCGTGGGCACGACGGACCGTCACACATCTTCCACAGAAATTAACTCTCTGAACTTTGTGACGGCCATGCAGGACGGACCGTCACAGTTGTGACGGACCGTCACAGGCTGCGTGACCCTGACTGGGTCGGATTTCTGTTAAATATTTTAAGGGGCGTTTTGGACTATTCCTGCTTATAATTATAAAGTTAGTGGTTTAATGTTAATAATTCAATTACTTGGGGGCTAAAAGAGATAACCTTGAAACAAATAGTGGGGTATTTTATCATCTTTTATACTTAATTATATGCTAATTAGGGTAAAAGAAAGAGGGTTTGAATAAGAAAAATAGAAAGAACAAAGAGAGGGAGAAACGAACGATCAAGAGAGAGAGAAAACGAAGAAGAACGCAGCTTTGGGAAAGTAGATTGTTTGATCGCGATTCTTCGGTGGAGGTAGGTTATGGTTTATGCTATTCGTAGTAAACTCTTAATAGCGAATGATATGTATTGGGTAGTATTGTAAACCCTTCTATATGCTTAATTGTATGCTTGTATGAATGTGATTATATAATTGTGATAAAATAAGCATGATGAAGCTATTGAATCCTAAATCTTGAAAAACCCTAATCTACTTTGTTAATGAGATTGATGATGCCTTGGTATAAAAGAAGGCTTGATGAACTAAAGTGATGAGAGTAGTGGAGCGGGTGTCACGAACTGACACGTAGAATTAGGGGATCGGGTGTCACGAACCGACACGTAGAATTAGGGGATCGGTGGATCGGGTGTCACGAACCGACACGTAGAATTAGGGGATCGGGTGTCACGAACCGACACGTAGAATTAGGGGATCGAAGTGTCACGTTCCGACGCCAGGATTGTATATGGAGCGGAGTGTCACGTACCGGCACGAGAGAAATAAAGATAATGAATCTTGAGAGATGTTAATATACTCAATCTAATGAACCTAATTCCCAAATGGGTATGGTATTGAGGCTTGAGTCCTCATGGGTGAACTTGACGGTGCTTATTAATGATTATAGAACTTGTTGTTGCTACATGTTGAGTATTGTAGTTGATTTATGATATTATCTGATATATACTGTTTTCTATTTTGAGTTGGCCGATGATACCTACTCAGTACTTGTGTTTTGTACTGACCCCTACTTGTATGTTTCTCTCTTTGTCATTTGTGGAGTGCAGCAAACGTGCCATCGTCTTCAACTCAGCCACAACTCTAGCCAGTCTTCATCAAGCCAGATTTCAGGGTGAGCTATTGCTTCTAACTTGGACTGGATCTTCCTCGTCATGTCTTGATGCCTTGAGATTCCGGCATGGACTAGCTTTTTACTTATTTTAGCTTCTTAGATACTCTTAGATTAGTAATTTGAGGATAGATGTTCTTGTGGTGATGACTTCCAGGTTTTGGGAATAATAAGTATTGAGTTTTTATAAGTTATTTAATCGATTTTCATTAATGAGTTTTAAGTCTTCCGCATTATATTTTGTTATTTATGGTTGAAACGTTGGGAATTGGATTGGTTGGTTCGCTCACATAGTAGGATAAGTGTGGGTGCCACTCGCGACCCGTTTGGGGTCGTGACATACTTTCATTACATCATTATCTTCTACTGATATTTAATTCAAAAAATAAATTTAAACCATCAATATCAGAATAATTATTATGTGTTAAAAAAAGTTCAAGGTTAAGACAATATTTTTTTAATAAAAAATCATTATCTAGTAATCTCAATATTTTATCACTAAATAAGAAATCAAAAATACTTTACATACTTCAATTGGTTGAAATCTATTTTGAAGTGAAAAAATAGTTTGATCTAGTAATCAACTCCAAAGATTCTTTAACAGATTTAGTGATTTCGTCATTCATATTTTCATCAAATTGTTTCTTACGAAAATCAAATTTATATTCATGTCATATGCAATTTCTTAGTAGAAGTCATAGAAATCATAGCACTCATAATATATATAATTTTTTTTAAATTATTATTTTATAAAAATAAAGATTCTAAAAAGTATAAAATCTCAAGCGATAACTTTAGTGACCTAGGGATAAAAGACGATACTGCCTAATTTCTTCATGCATATCCTAATGGTCTTAAAAGGGTACTACCTTATCACATGTTAGTAGTACTTGATTTCCTTTATTAATCTTACCTACTCTATAAATTATGATAAATTTTGTTGGAGTAATTTATAACATGTACAATCTTATTTAATGCCAAAATGACAGTCACATGTTGGTAGTACTTTATTTTTATTTATTTTTTAGACACGTTTTAAACATCTTTTTAATAAATTCTTTTGGAGTTTTTTTTTTTCCACATTCATTGTCACTATTTTAGAAGGGTGAGGGTATCAATATGTACTTTAGGTTATAAATTCATTATATTGAGGGCAATTTTGTCATTGCAATTAATAGTCCTATTTTCAATATTATATTCATCCTTTTTCTTCTATATAAATTGATGGAATGTTATTCCCAAAAGAAATAATATTATGTGATGAAGACGATGAATTATTCCAAACTCTATGATGATCAGAAAATATTGAATTCTTTCTAGTTTTTTTTTCATGCTTGTTAGGTAGTAGACGTTAGGTACTTCGTTAAGATTAATAAGATAACGCTTAGCCTCCCTTGATTGTACTTATCTCTATTGATATTTTTTTATGTTCAGTAAAAGGACACTAGACACTGTCTAATAGTAAATTTGTGAGAAAAATGGAACTTTAAAGCATGTATCGATTCACAATAATTAGGCTTTATTAAAACGGTTTGTCGATGCTTACTTAGTTACATATTTTTTTAATTATGATGTTTTAGAGGAATAAACGATGAAGACAAACCATAGATATTAATGGGTGAAAAAAATATTGGAAATTTTTTTTTCTTATAATAATAAGAAAGATTGTAATTTAAATTTGTGAATAAACAAATAACACAATGGAGGTTATTTATAGGTAGTGAAATAAGAGTAAGACCTAAAAAAGTTCAAATTTTAGTGGGCCAACAAATAAACAAATAAATTTGAATAAGGCCTATGAAAATAAATGTTAGATTGGGCCTTTGAGTTTCAAATTGGCCCATTTTGTTTTAACAAGATTGGGCCTTTGCGTTTCAAATTGGCC